TTTTTTTTTTTTTTTTTTTTTGTGGCAGCACTTCTCATGCTGTGTTTCTGAATAGGCATGCATCTGTGGATCCACAAACAGGTCATTCAGCAATTCTGAATCTTCAGAATCTGATCTGTGTATAGAAATTAAAAAAATTTGAGACTGTTCACAGAATGATTATTCACTGCTTAAGCTACTGGCAATAGAAATTGCTTTTTTCGCTTACCAGCCAGAAAACCGAACTTACTAAGATGAATCGCTCTCATATAAAAATTCAGTGGCATTTTAGCATTCCTTTTGTTACTGGTTGTTCTCTATCAACAAAGTTTTATTGAAATAGCCTCTGAAATGTAGTGACGAGGTCCGGCTGTGACGGTGGGTTAAAAATATGCAACTTTGTGGACTAAAGCGCTTTATTCTTAGCTAAGTTATTTTTCTTTTTATATAATCTTGGTTCCAGCCTTTAGTGTTTCTATACATCTTATTTGTCAGTCTGTATCTTCTCTTCGATTACCGTTTACAATTCTGCTTAAAACAAATGGGTGGCTTAATACAATATTATTTGGTCTCAAGGTACTGTAGACATCTAAGCTAGAATGTTAACATATTGACTTTTCGCTTTATTTTATTCAGTGAAATGTCGATGGGGTTAACAAGAACAAGCTGAAATTTTTAGTGCGCGAAGATTTGTCTGAGACGGAATCCGACATGGAAGATGATATTATGATGGATGAGGATGATGAGGATGACGTCTTGTCAGAGGAAAAAACTGATCAGGTTTTATTTTTGTTCAGCGTAGAGGACAAAAAGTGACAATTTTGTTGAAATCTTATCAATAGCTTGTCGAAAATGACTCAAAATTTGGTTTTTTTTTTTCCTGCAAGTGCTGAGATCGCGGTTTTAACGCTTTCTATAAATAATCTGAAATCCTAACTAAATGTTTAGAGAAAAATCCTGGTCTTATATGTAAGCAAGATGGGGTTGCAGGATAAGCGTACGATGTCGAGTAGTTCATCCAAACGTGATGAAGAAGAAGTGAGACATCTTTCTTCTCGTGATGAAAAGAGACTTCATACGCACAGGAGGGGTCATTATGTGGATCGATCAGGCTGTCTGGAATGTCAGGATTGTCCAAAACGTATCCAGCGAATCCAAAGAACCAGTCAATGTGACTAAAAATGCTCAGTTAATGAAATATGCATTGTTTTTCTCTGTTTTATTTTCTACAATATAAAACATAAAAAAAGCTGTGCGTCAAGCTTCTTCTGCTATATGAAGAACACTGAGCAGCAAGTAACACTTGGTTAATATAAGGATCTTAATAACCAAACACATCATGGTAGCGTGGATGTCGAAGGTTCTGGTGGCATATCTTAATGGCATGAGGAAAAATGGCAGCTGAAAATTTTGCGTAGTCTTGGCAAAAATGGGAGAAGATGAGTACTTTTTCTGGTAAAGTCTGAGTCTGGATTTAAAGCATGGAGACATAGAATATCTTTGCAAATTTTCAGCTTCCTATCCTGTCAGAATCCAAAATCGTTTTTCCGATAAAAAATTTGCGTATTTTTTAGGCGTTTGTAAATGAGACCGAGGCACATGTGAACAGTGATTTTACTGTTTGAATGGCACGTGGACTAGGAACACCTTGTGAAATTCCTTCTTTTTAGTTTCTGTGGTTGCTCAGTCGAACGTGGGTGATAAAAATCCGAACGCACGTTCAGCATAGCATACACATACACACATATGCTTACACACCGATAACCCATCTACTACACGCTTTTTTACATTTGCACAAAGATGCAGAAACGCATAAAAAGTTACATTTGGCCATTAAAAGAATATTCAGTTCGTCATCCGTTGGCGTCTTCAACCGCTAATTTCTCATTTCTCTTTCATATAAATTTTTTAAAAGAAGGAAAAACTGTATAGGTGTGCGCCTTTCGTAAAAATCGCGAAATCAAGAGGCTTTAAGAACAAAGTTCTTGCCTTGTTTTGGCACTGCGTTAGTGCACTGGCAGTATCGAGCAACATAGTATTAGAGTCTCCACCGTATATTGCATATAGTGTAAAATTTATACACTTTTCCATATGCACCGCGGGAACACTTCGTAATGAAGTGTCGGTGTGTGGCCATATATCTGCAGATCTTAGAAGGCAAGAAGATGAAATTTGGAGACATCGTATCAGGCCATGTGAGGACCAGGAAACGGAAATCAACTTTCGTGCTCTCCTGCATCTTAAGAGAGAGAAAATGAAGGTACCCTTTAAGCAAAACTACCGCTAGAAATTCGACATCCCATTGTTTTAGTGCATCCCAGCTCTGTACCACACCATTCAACAAAAAAGTTAAAAAACATTTTGTAGCAAGGAAAAAAAAGTCGACTGTATTGTAAAATGAATAATAATAATGAAAACAGACTTAATAATAACAGCGATACTGAATCACTGAAGGATAATAATATCAGTGGCAGCAACACTTGCTGTCGTGATAAAAAATGATAACAACGAAATTAATAGTCATATTCATAATACATATTAAGATAATAAATAATAAAAATCTGAATAAATATCAATAAATTATTTACAAAAATATGAACTTAATATACG